GTTATCTTTTAGCGGAATGTTTTAATTTAACTATGTATCGTGCCGGTGCGTTGCTACGGGACAACAAATTTTTTATATTAAAATACATAGATCACACAATAATATAACAATACTATAAAATTAAGCACCAACATTAAAATAATATTTAATAAAAAAAAGCAAAGTTTTCCTGAACGTAACACCGTCACGGTATAGCACATTGGCAACTGGACTGTACATACTAATAACTAATACCTGTTGTTCATTCTCAGACTTATCAAACACCATGACTGCAAGACATCTATACGGGCCATGTCCTTGAAAATTGCACAAAACGAAATAGAGGCTCCAGTAGACAATTAACACCAATACTTGGTTTCTACATATAGTGAGATAAGAAAAATATCTGCTTATTTCACAACAGACCAAAATCCTCCGATTACAAACAAAACAGATTAAGCTGGTCTCTAGACGTCAGGGACCAGAATAGGCACTACTGCTTCAATCTTTCAGTCGTAATGGCTGTCCAGAAGAAAGCCTCTCCAACCTTGCCTTGTATCTTGAAGTGTGAATGCTTTCAACCGTCATCATCATTGCACTGAATTTGAACCACAGTTTCTGGACAAAGGTGAAAAGAACTTGGGCAAGGGTGTAACATAATTTCCACCATCGATATGCTGTGCACACTGAATTTGAACTACAGTTCGTAAAAAAAAATTACAGCACAATGATGTTCCAACAATCAATGGCTTCTGCTCCATACCTAATAAACCCCACCTGGCCATCAGCTCCTCAGCTCCCGATCATCTAGCCTCCCAAGGCAGCAGTGCCCTCCCTCAACTCATGCTGGAGATGCATTGGCAGTGCAGCCGTGCCAACACGTGAAGGCTCATGGCGAGGTTGACCTCTGTTTCTCATTGAAGATTTGTCAATCATCCTCTGAATCAGTAATTTCTATTTGCTATCTGAATCAGTAAAGTAAACAGCATTTGGTCTTCAGGAAACATATTCGAAATTAACTAAGGCAAGGCATCAGTACTTTCACAATCTCATTACAGAAACTTCTAAAAAGATTCATTCAATTAGCATATGTAGAAAAAATAAGTTTACTTATCTGATCCAGGCCACCTAATATGTATACTTAGCAGCCTGGAACACCACCATAGCCCACAGTTACAGATTTGATCGCAAGCAAGCTATAGAACTGGTTACTGCATGACACGCCAAAACTCTCATATACTACAATTTTATTCTGCATGATTAGAGCACCAACTCCAATTTTTAAGCAAATAGTAATATTCATACTATAAAGCGCATTAAAAAAAATTGTCAGATTGAAAGGCACTATTGGGATATTAATAACCTGAAGGTTAGAAACTTAGAATTACCTGCACGTAACAACCTTAAAGGTATCATCCACATATATCGGAGAATTGCCACAGCTGAGTAGTAAATATAGCACATAAATAGATATGAGCTAACTTTCATCTGCAAAACTACAGAAAACTCCATCACCTTGCAAAAACAAAAGGAAACTACATTTGTGTCAGCTGACACTGCAACCTCCTAGACCATGGAATCAGACATCCAATTACCTCCTAGTATATTGTCCGTGCTAATGCTACGGGCCACATCAAGTCCAAAGCTAATTGTCGAACAACTTACAAAAGGCATGTCAATTAATAATACAAAGCTGCAGATCTTGTTTGTTTGCTTATTTCATTGAAATTCTCATCAAAAAAATTTCAATGTTGCCATCTGGAGGGATAATTGATACTATGTGCAAGTAAAAAGATCTAATAAAATTAAGAAGTTACCTGCTCCCTTTCATTGAGAAACCAACCAAATATTTAGGAAATAGATATATTGGTTGGGAAAAAGATGATAGATAAGCCTAGTGTCGACACTTGTATCTTACTTTTCCTGCAAAGTAGAAAAGTAGAAGATGCTCTCTGCCCCTTGCCCATAAAAGCAGGGCAGTGCTATTGTAAAGAATAAGCCATTGCATTTCAATTCCAACAAGCGGCCAAGGCCAAGCTGCCCTCTGGCTTTCCCAGATCTGATCTAGATCTGAGATCCATCTCGTGGTTCCTGGCCAACAACTGGCGCTTGGACTCTCAAGCAGTTTCTTCAGCTTTTGGTCCAAGATAGTCGCAACCCTCTCCTTGAAGCTATCAGCAGTTTCGTTATCCGACTTCAACCTTACCTTTGCCTCAGAAACCAGCAAGTCCATCCTTTCTTCTTCTGAAGAAGTTGCTTCAGCTTCTTGCTCAACATCAGCATCTTCCATGGGACAGAATGTTTCGTCCAGTAACCCAACATTCTGTGTATACCTCTCATATGCTTCATTTTCAGCATCGATATCTCCTTGCATATGTTCCTTTAGCTTCATAAACCTCCACTTGTTTATACCCACAACATCCTAGAACAAAACAAAAGTCACAAAAGAAACAAAAAGCGGCTCAAAACAAACAGAGCGAGCGAAAGAGCCAATAACCTTTTTGGTAAGCGACTTCTTTGTTTGGAGAGACTTCAGAAAATGCTGAGGAAGCTTTTGCAAGGCAGCCAGCCTGGATGCTGAACTGTGAAAAAACAACAATCAAGCATTGAAACAATGCAGTGGTTTGCAAGAGATTAATTGCCAACTTATGTTTTATGAATTTTACCTGGTTGCGGGTAAATTGGTAGATGGCTGTTCTGTTGCAGGAGCAGGAGCAGGAGATGGCTTATCCGGCAATGTGTTGGTCTGCTTCAGAACTATCATGATAAGTAAAGCGAGGCAGCATCAGTGGTGTTCAGAGTAGAGTAAAAAATAAACAACATTATGGCATAGCGCAGAGCAGCAGACATGATAATAAACAATGTAAAAGAAAGTTTAAAATAAGAAAAATGGAATTGACATGCAGATTGCGATAGAAATATCATAAATAAAACATCAATGTTCATAAGAAATGGTTCTAACATAACCACTAACGCTGCTTGGCTAGACTGGAAGTTTGGAGCTACAAAAACTTCCCAAACCTTCACTTTTTCCTTCACTAGCCTCTTCCCCCATTTCTTCATAAATCATGAAGAGAATAGCTCCATTGACGGTCAATGCAAGGTTTAATCAATACCCCATCTAACACTTCGTCCCCCACATACTTGACATGCCCTTGAAGCAAGATATGGTCACAACATCCTCATAAAGGATGCAAGTCATCACCATGCAAAAATTCCTCTATTGCCTTCCATTACTTGTTTAGTTTTTTTTACACATTTCATTTCTGTTGGATGAGTGGTGCATGCAATTTGTGAAGATTTATTCCAAACCATGGTCACAGTAAACAGGGTTGAAGGCATCGACCCAAGACCTGGGAACATCGTCCCCGACCTGGGTACTCAGGGTAATTTTCAACCCTGCCGTGTATAAACCTCTCGCAAGCCGCAAGTAGTGAACCACGTTCCTCGACCCTGTTGACCCAGAAACTTTGTGACTATGTTCCAAACACTGTTCCAGGCATTAATTCTGTATGGTAATTTCTGACTGCTAATAACCAATTCATTTGTCTAAGAACTTGCCATAAATATTTGAAACATAAACAAATAGTAAATCATTGTTAGGATGGATTGGTTAAATCTGCTAGCTTGTACCTCTAAGCAAGCTCATTTCGGCTACGAAACTAAATGTACCCCTAAATATAAAAAGTTCTGGAACAACTGCTGAATGAGGGTAAAGAAAAGGCGTTGCCTTGATAGCATTCTCCACAATCTGTTTTGCTAATACTGATCCCCAAATTCAGTTATCAGTTTTATATTTTAGCACTCATTCCCTTCCTGATTGTTTGCCATAGCACTCCATCAAATCTGTTCCCCCCTCCATCTTATCTCTCTCTCTCTCTCTGCACATTGCCCACAACCGAGACCCTCCAGATGTGCATGGAGCACAGCTTCACTCCTGGTGTAGTCCCCAGGAGATGACCTCATGCAGGTGGCATTGCTTCGCCTTATGGGGCCAGTGGCAGTAAGGGATCCGTGGTTTGGCAGTTGGTCAAGTGCGATGCTCATGGACATCAAGCACCGTGGCGATGTCCACTAGAGAGTGCCCTGCGCTGATGACAGTGAGATCTGCAGTGGTTGCGGGGGTAGAAGACGGAGAGTAAAGGCAGACAGCGATGGGGGATTGGGAGTGGCCATGGAGACAGAGAATGTAACTGTGAGAGTCCTGCATTCCAACCTGTGCCACTGGTTTCCAATCGTGCCGCACGGCACTAGGGGCCTGTTTAGATTCCAAAAAAATTTACGCAGTACTTATCACATCGAATCTTGCGGCACATGCACGGAATACTAAATGTATTTAAAAAACTAATTGTACAGTTAGGTGAGAAATCGCGAGATTTAAACTTTCGAACCTAATTAGTCCATAATTAGACACTAATTTCCAAATACAAAACGAACAGGCTACAATACCTAAAACTAAAATTTTTTGCATCTAAACGCTACCTAGGATGGGAAAAAAACGGAGTAGGGACTAGGAAGTGATAAGATAGGACACTGAGTACGGAGAGTAGTATGTTAGCAAAATGATTCATGGAGAGGGCTACAGAGGCAATTTTGCCTAACCAAAAATAGAAGGATGCCTGGTAAACTGGCTAGAACATATATGTAATTGTGCAGATATTCAGATAGAATATCACCATTCATCAAATTCCTTGTGGGTCACTAACTTCAAGTGTAGATTATCATTTTCTTATAGCAGTGCAGATTATCACGTCAAAGGAGTATGTCGCATATACCATGGATGTGGCAAGGATTCTGGGCCTTGTAGCAGCAGCTCTTGCAACACTGGAACGGACACCTGAAAGGCCAAGCACAGCGCGCGCATATAATTCATTAACAAATCAGAAATCAATGCAGTCTCTATCACATAACCAAAGGTGAAGGTTCTCAGTTGCCTGTAAACTGCCTCTGCACACCATACCACAAGTACGAGGAAATAATTCTGCCTAATAAGGAAGTATCGATAAACTCTGTCTCCTTACCGGGAACGGGCGACGTTACCACACTGGATGCACTTGGGCTTGTTAAGACCCCGAAGGTTTGGCTTGGGCATGTCGAAGGCGGCGGCTGGAATAGGAGGCGGCTTCTGCGGCGTCCCATTGCTGTTGGCCACCGCCGGCGCAGGAGCAGGAGTAGCAGCAGGAGAAGGCAAGTCACCAGCCGCCGCCTTGGTGACGGCGGCAGCGGCAGCAGCAGGCTTCACGTCCGGCATGGTTCTCCTCAACCCAGCGAAACTTGTGGGGAAAAAACTAAAGTCAGCAAATGGGGAAAAAAGTAAAGCGCACTTGAGAGAGTAGGATTTGAATTCGATTGTGGATAAAAGGAAATCCAAGGGGGGGAAAGAGCATGCATCCCCATCTCCCGGCTGACCTGGGCGGCGACGTCGTTCACCATGACGGCGGCGATCTCCTTGGCGTCGAGCCTCGTCAGCGGCCTGAACACGATCGTCTCGTCCAGCCGGTTCAGGAATTCGGGCCGGAAGTAGCGCTTCATCTCCTCCTCCACCACCTCCTTATTGCTGCTTCCATCTCCGTGTCCGCCACAGTTCGCGCCACCACTGCCGGCGATGTTGGACGTCATGATGATGAGCGTGTCGGTGAAGTCCACTGTCCTCCCCATACCGTCCGTGAGCCGGCCGTCGACCAGGACCTGCAGCAAGACGTTCATCACCTCCGGGTGTGCCTTCTCGACCTCGTCGAGGAGTACCAGCGTGTGCGGTCGCCGGCGCACGGCCTCCGTTAGCTGCCCGCCCTCGCCGTGCCCGACGTAGCCCGGGGGCGCGCCGACCAGCTTCGCCACCGCGTGCTTCTCCATCAGCTCGCTCATGTCCAGCCGCACCATGGCGTCCTCCGAGCCGTAGTAGTAGGCCGCCAGCTCCGACTTGCCGACGCCGGTCGGCCCGGCGAACACGAAGCTCGCGATCGGCCGGCGCGGGTCGCTGAGCCCGACGCGGGCGCGCCGGATGGCGTGGCTTACCGCCGTCACGGCCTCGTGCTGGCCGATGATGCGCCCGTGCAAGGCCTCCTCCATCCTCAGCAGCTTGGCCGTCTCGTCGGTGGAGAGTTCGTGGACGGGCACGCCGGTCCAGAGCGAGACGATGTGGCGGATGTCTGCTTTGGTGACCACTGGCACCGCCCACATGCCAGGACTCACCTCGTCGTTGCCGATCAGGGTTGTCATCTGGGACTTGAGCTCCAGTTCACGATCGCGAAGCTCCTTCGCCTGGTAGCATTCAGATGATCAACATTGTGTTAATCGCACCTTACAACGTGTCTACAAGATGCCGAAGGAAATGATGCCATCAGGCAATGAATCGGTATCGTTACCATTTTAAAGTTCTCGATGCCGATAGCATCACACTTCTCCTTCATGATTTTCTTGATCTCTGTTTCAAAATCTTCAAGTTCCTTAGGTAGCCTCTGCTGTGGATCAGGTCAACTGAGATTTTGTAAAAATGCATGTGAAAATTGGGGATGAAAGTTACATTTGTAAGTTTGTTGTACCTGGGCATGTCGTAATCTGACTAGGGAACCTGCTTCGTCAATCAAGTCAATGGCCTTGTCTGGAAGAAAACGATCACTGCAAGCAAAAAGCAATAGTCAAATTATGAAAACTATAAAACTGAGAAATCTGCAGGTATATAAATTAACCTGTGAGGAGGAGGATCTGAGTACAGATCTTTACCCACCTCCAAACAGGCCCTTTGTCAACACTTCATTAAAAGTCAATAGTAAACCTAGCAACTAGCATGATATCAGTATGACGAAAATATGGTGTAAGTTTACTTCATATTTATTTAACTATAAATAAATGTGAATTTTTGGGATCAACTTATGGTTTTATTTCAATGTCAGCGGAATCTAGTGTTAAAATTCCTTGAAGAACATTGACAAATAGGATATGGAATAATGGCTGGCACCATAGGTCCACCTTCCTTAATCACAGACCTGATATACTTATGTGAGAGCTCCGCAGCTGCACTTAGTGCTTCATCCGCATATTGAACTTTTATGATGGGTTTCATATCGCTCTCGAAGCCCTTTTAGAATTTCTGTGGCTTCATCAACCGTTGGCTCTGGAACCTTCACCTGTCGGAAACGCCTCTCCAATGCCGGGTCTTTCCTCAATATGTTTCATGTATTCATCAGTTGTAGTGGCTCCGATACACTGACAACATCAATGTCAGAGAGAGAGACAGAGAGATCCTTAGCAAAACAAATTGATCAAAAAATATCCCAACATATGAGTCCAACGTGATGTACTGACCTGAAGTTCACCTCTTGCTAGTGTTGGCTTCAAAATGTTGGCAGCATCAATAGCACCTTCTACTGCTGCTCCTGCTCCTACTAGGGTGTGAACTGAAAGCCCCGTTCGCTTGACTACTTTTCAGCTATAGAATAATATTTTTCTTTCACAACATTTCAGTATAAACATCAGCCTAAGTCAAATTTTAGCATAAGCGACCAGTGGCTCGAGGAATAGTATTACGTTGCCACACTGCTTGATTTCTTCCAAAAGATTCTTTAACCTTTCTTCAGACTCTCCACGGTATTTTGTTCCAGCTACAAGACGTCCCATATCAACACAGATAATCTGTGATTAACAAGTGTTACTCTTAATAGTAGTGTACAGGACAGACAACCAACAGACCCTCTGTGCAGCTCCCTGCTTTGTTCAGAGCCCTTTCTCACAGTATTCATGGGCGACTGAGCGGAGAGCCAACCCTAGCGGCGCCCCCTGGCGGCCACCCCCAGCCCGCCGCCGGCTGCCATACTGCCACCGCCGGCCCCGCCCTCCCCCTCCCCTCTGCCTCCCCGCTCCCCTCCCCTCCCTACAGCCTCCAAGCCCGCAAATCCAGCCCCTCCCGCAGCCTTCTTCTCCACGGGATGCGCCTCCACCTGGGACCGTCGCCGCTGCTCGTTTCCGGGCCGTGCGCCATGGCCGCCGGAGATGGTGCTTCCTCTGGGCTGCCGCCGTTCCAGGCGCCGCCGGCCACCATGGAGTTGGGCTCACCCCGTGTGGACCTCGCCCACCCTCCCGACCCGGCCCCTACCCCCAACGACGCTGGCGGCGCACCTCCGTCGATCTACCTCCCTGCTACTCACCAGCCCCCTTCAAGCCCTGATCCAAGCTCCCCGCTTCCGGATCTATCGATCCATGGGGATGGGGCTGCCACCACAACGCTCCTTGGCGTGCCCACCGGGTCGTCTTCTGCCCCATCCACAGCCCGCCGGCAGCCACTCCGGTGCCGCTGGCCACCTTTGACGCCCCGGCTCCTGCGGCCATCCCTAGCGTCGCTGCCCCCGCCGGGCCCAATTCCATCGTCGTCCTGCCTGTGCCTGCCACAGATGCAAGGACTGAGCATGACACGCTGGTCATCGTCAAGGACGTCCCGGAAGACGAGGACGACGAGGAGGATGCCGCGCGCTCGTGCAGGTCCTCGCCGTCCTCCGCCTCCGCGCTTGCCCCCCCCTTCTTCCCCGCCCATCGGTCAGCTGGCAGGAGCAAGTTCCGACGTTGGGAGGAAGACCCTGGCGCGGGTAGCTCTGACGACGAAGCCACACGCCCGTCGTATCTGGACGCCGCTCGCAAGGCCCTCCGGGCCACGCCTCGGCCATCGGCTGGGGCTTCGGACGCGGCGCAGAGCGCTGCCGCCGCGGAGGGAACCCATCCAGTGCCTGCAAGGGGGAAGCAGCGCCGTCGACACAGGACTCGTGTACCTGACGGTCGTGGGACTCCACCGATGAACGCCGTGCGAGTGCACGCAACGCGTCGCCTAGGTTCGCAGCAAGTGGCGAGAGTCCCGGTGCACCAGCGCCTCGGCCCGCGGCGTGGGTCGTCGGTGCCTAACACGTCCCGGCAGCCCCATCGGGGGGCCATCGTCGACGTCGATGGTTTCCAGACTGTCGTGAGCCATCGTCACCGGCACTGCTCGGGGAAATGAGCACCCAAACTCCACCGCCCCATCCCGCCAGAGCTTGCGAGTCTCTGCTTTAACTGCCTCGCGCACGACCACCTCGCCACTCAGTGTCGCTCCCTGTCCCGTTGCTTCCACTGCCGGGGTACCGGCCATCGGGCCAGGGCGTGCAGGCGTGGTTGTTCGCCGGTGTGCAAGCGAGGCCCCTTGCCGGCACGCGAGCCTTCATCCTCGGTGGCGCATCGCCCTGACCGGGGTGCCAAGGCACGTCGCCCTGCTGGTGCAAGGCTGTCGCCGGGAGGTTGCGACGCGCCTGGCCAGGCGCCGACGCTGTCGTCGCCTCGTTGTGTGCAACAGTTGACCACGCCGTAGTCATCGTCACAGCAACACCACAACAGCAACTTGCCGCTATCACCACCTCTGGGTGATGCCGATAGCCGTCCCAAGATCGAGGTCTTCGTTGTCCCGAAGAACATGGAGCTCGTCGTGCCTGAAGCGGACTTTTCCCTTGTTCTTGTCGCGCTCGTTGGTGGGAATCAGCCAGCTGTCTCTCCAGAGGAGTTCCGGGCACACCTTGCCTTGACGTACGAGGTGGCGGAGGGCGCGGCCAGCGTCTGTGCCCGGCTCGGGGGCAGCTTCGCACGTGAGCGTCGGCTGGGTTAGTCGTGCGAAGGAGGTGGTCTTGAGGCTGAGGTAGACCTAGTGCTGTGGAGCCGGCCGAGGCAATTGCCACCCACGGTTGACTCGTCGCTGGACCCAATGTTGGTTGAAGTGGCAATCCAAGTTCCGCCACCAAACCATCGCTCCGCTTTAGAAACAGGCCATGGGGACATGGCCACCGTCATGGTCGACAATCCTAGCGATGTCCAGCCAGTCTCGACTTCGCCCAGGGAAGTGGAGATGCTGGGCGCGTAGAGGGACTCCTCGAGCGATGACGACGCCGGTAGGCCAGCGTCGTTGGGGCCTGTCAAAACGCTGGAGGTGCGGCTTTGCCTTCCGTTGCAGACACCCCTCATCCCCGGACCGCCTAGGCTGCGTAGGCCCAGGACGCCGGTCTCCGTTGGGTCGCTGCGGCGCAGTGAACGCCTTGTGGCGAAGCCACGCTAGGCGGACTCCACCAAGCAGGCTCAATGCGTGCTCATGCAGAAGCTGAGAGTGGTAGCAGGCTCGCCCGCCGTCGACTCTGAGACGGTGTGCAAGTACAAATCTACCTTCCAGGCACCATTATCGGCCTCCAAGCAGGAGGCGCTTCAGCTTCTTTTCGTTGGGGAATCTGACCCGTTGGCCATGAACTTGGATATGGTCAGGATGGACGAGGTAAAGTGTATCCTTGTCTTAGTCGCAAAATTGTATCTTGTGTAATCACAACCGCGTGCTAATAGTGTGAGACGGTGTGGGCTGTGGGTTTCGGTAATATTTGGATTACTGTAACTTGACAGATTTGGAACAAAACTTTCTACTCCTGCGTAATGAAAAATGTGGCTAAGGCATGATCTAAAAAAAATAGTAGTGTACAGGGTAGCTCAAATAAAGCAAAATAAAATTACCATATATATTGGCCATGGACATGTATTATGTTTTACTGTATTTTTAGATAACTCTGTAGCAATGAATTAGTGTAATAACATGAATATTTCTTCAATGAAATTCATCCAGGAATAGTGGTTCAAATCAAAATTACATAGTGATCAACTGAGCATACAGTCAAATGGTTATTATTAGTCTATTGAAATGGCAAAAATAAGGTCTAAATGTCTGATCTGGACAGCAAAAACAAGGGAAAAGAAAACGGCAAGGCAGGAACTGACAAATCTAACTGACATATAAACAGGTACTTTTTCCCATATATTTAACTTTCATGTAAAACGGTTTGCAAGTTTACAACAAATTCAGCTGTACGAAAATAACAATAAAATTTCTCGAGAAAAAATAACAATCAAATAGAATCAAGAAAGAACAAATCACAAAAGCTGCCCTAAAGAACCAAGAGAAAGACCTTCCCTTGCATTGTTTCTGGAACATTCCCCATGGCAATGAGCTGGGCAAGGCCTTCCACTACTGCTGTTTTTCCAACACCTGGCTCTCCAATCAGGCAGGGGTTGTTCTTGCCCTTTCTGCTTAAAATTTGTACAACTTGGTCAATCTGTTTTTGTCTTCCGACAACAGGATCCAACTTTCCCTAGAGTACAACATGATCAGTTTTTACTTGTTATTGTCCCAGAACATTATATTGTGGGTTGCATTGCACTCTAGTAAAGTAGCTAGTAAGTCCAGAACAGTACCTTATTAGCTAATGTTGTTAAATCAGTTCCGTATTCATCAAGTGTGGGTGTGGGCATCTTGTTTTTTGTCTCAGCAGAAGTTTTACTGCTTCCCATTTCCAATGAAGCATCATTACTTCGAGTTTTCAAAGGAGATTCACTGCTTCCTTTCCCAACTATACCATCCATTATTTGGAAAACCTGAGATGCAAGATAAGTTTATGACCATCAATCAACTAAGCATAAAAATATAATCAAGAGTGTATATTTGCCTTCTAGTTAGAGGCAGACTTTATTTGAATATAGTTTACCTCATTGAGTATGAAGTCCAAGAGCAAAATACAAATTGTAAAATGTGGCTCCACAGGACTTGGCTGATTCCAGCCTTGAGCGCTAAGTGCTGTGTTTCCTCTTGCGCAAGCGCGAAAATGTTCATAACTTCCCCGGTGAAACTGTTGAGAGTTGCCCTGGTGATGAGGCGAGGATAGTTTTGTCCTCTTTGATGGATGGGGAACATTGATTTCGAACCAAGTACAGGTGTCACCGCAGGCCTATGCGCTGCTCGTAGGCAACCAAATGCTTGTGTCTTGGTTCCATGATTTTGAGCCATCGAAACTATTGAGGAAGGCCTCCTTGTGCTCTGGCACTTCCAATTGGTTTTGCTACCTCCAGCTGACGATGGGAGAGAAGCGGATCTATGCAATGTTCCTGCCATAATCGCAAATGCAGCCCCATAGCCTGTTCATGACAAGATGAACAGGTTAAGAGATAAAACATTCTAGATGTTTCTTCTCATAACATTCTAGTTGTGCATCATTTGGCAGGATAACATATATAACTTTTTGCAGAATAGTTTTCAAGTTTAGAAATTCATCTAGCATTAGCAGTTGTAGATGAACTTAAGCTCATATCTGAATTCAGCAGATAAATCATAAATGCATGACAGGAAAGAGGAAACAAGTATCCCGGAAACCCACAGAACATCAGGCACAATGTCCATCATGATGATACACTATAAGAACTAACCACCATACAGACTGGAGAATCAGACCACAAAACATTGACATAAGAAGCTTATGTGTTTCGACACACTGCAACCCTTGCAACATGTGCTGCGCTTATGTCAGGGTGGACGGCGAGCTTCAGTGGAGTAGGGGGGCACAGTAAGACCATGACTGCAAATTAATGTGTTGCCTGTGTATGAGAATGACAGATCCAATGATTAGAATAATAATAAGAAGACACTATGTATATTTCCACCAATATTGAAACTGAATTCGGATTTGTAACATGCACATAATAATAAGTTTATGTAAAGGTTAGAAACTATCTTGCACACCCTTCTGTTTGAGGCTTTGAGCTCAAATTTTAGCCAAAGGTTAAAAGGTACTCCCTCCATTGCAAATTACAAGACGTTTTAACTTTTCTAGATACATTGATTTTACTATGCATCTGGTGCATAGCAAAAACTATAAATCTAAAAAAGCTAAAATGTCTTATAATTTGGAACTGAGAGAGTACATAATAATATATGGGTAATTTCAGAAGAATCCTGCCGGAAGGTTGTAATATCCACTAGTTCAAAACAGACCCTAAAGCACCATCTTATAGCTGATTAATGGTATGTCAAAACAAACCCAACATTGCATATTTCATTTTACCAGATTCTTCATGCCACGACAAAATTCAGCTAGGAAAGTGATTAACCATTGGCTAGGCTCAGCTAAGCAGAACGATTACTTTTAGGCCATGGATGATCAGTGGCTACGAAGCGAGCACCGAAGCTGAACACAACCCAAGCAAGCACGCAAGCACACGCACTCGGCGGCGAGGAGGCGTACCTGCAGTGACGTGGCAACGGCAGCGGTGGCGGCGGCGCGGAGGATTAGGTCGTCGAAAGCGGGGCGCAGGATCAAGGTGCGGCTGCCGGAGGGTGAGCCGCTGATGCCGATCGAGGCGACGGCGGCGGGCGGAGGCAGAAGCGCGAAAGGAAACCCCATCCAACGCGCGAAGCAACGGGGTACCTATACTGAAGTAAATTTGGAAATCGATCACCAATTCAGGAGACATCCGTTCCAATTCCAAATCCCTATTTTTGTTTATGCGGCAATAAAATCGGCAAGAGAGTTAGCAACAAGTTTGCAATCATTTTCGCTGTTTTTAAATATGGAATCTACAGCTATAGTAGCATTTAGCGAAGGGTCTCTCCAACGACTAATAGCGAAACTAAACGAGTATAGTGGATTCATAATTTTTAAATAAATTGTAAATGAACGCACGGAGATGTAAAACCCTGAACATCTCTAAGGATCACTAAAAAAAATAAGTCCTTCGTACTATTTACAAACCGGCAACGCGGTGCGCCACGAGGAGCAGCAGCCCAGAAAGACGTGCCATTGGCATTGGGAGAATGGGAGGGCCGAGCGACGCAGGCCACTGACTCACGAGGGGCTTTTGAGTAGGACGAGTTTTTTGTTTTCACAGGAGGTACAGTGTTTTCACTTGAACTGCTTATTGGTATATAGAAACCATCAGCCGAACAAGGTGTAAAAAACCACGGTTTTTTCAGTAAGTATTAAAGAATTCTTGGAATCTTGGAGATGCTGTGTCAGTGGGCACAACGCAATGCCCCGCGAAATCACTCAAACACAACCTTTGCTGGAAATCACTATTTAAACCTTTGCTAGAAATCACTCAAACACCCTCTTTAACCTTTGCTGGAAATGCGTGCGTTATAAGAATAATTACGTTTTGGTAACGCCCAGATCTTGCAGACGAGGATGCGATAAAAAACACCATGCCAGGCTAGACCCAAGAATGCATTAAAGCCCATGTTCCCAGAAAATTGTATGATGTCCACATGATCTTTATCGAGTTATATCAAATTTTAATACAACGGGGTACCAATTTCAGCTCTTGTGTGGGAAAACAAGTCCCAACACATTCGAAACTCAGGACCAAACTATAGTCCATTGGTCCATCCATAAAGAGATGGTACACCCTTTCAGAGAGAGAGATGGTACACAGGAATGGCAAAAATGGTGTACTCTGTTCGCACAAACAACCGGTACAAGGAGCCAACTGCTTCAGCTGCAATCAGTAGTCATCGCCTCTGGAAATAACCTCTTTGCAAGTTGGCCGGAGTAAGATGGTGTGCTCAAACTGTGAGACGTAGCTCCCTCTCACGTCGCAAAGGGGAGGGTACGGCTGCCAACAGAGCAAAACGGTGAATAGACATGTCAGCAACAAGGTTAGGTTTGGACAATGGAGCAGAGACAGAGAGATACACCTACCTGAACGATGCCATTATCGCATAGATTTTTCAGAGCCATTAGGTACTTGGTCTCACCAAGGCGATCCAAGTACCGGCGGCAAAAGGCGAGCGTTCCAAAGTTGTTGTTGATTGTCCCAAGTAGTTGCTTGGCCTTTGCTAACCGCAAAGGCACATGTCCAACATCAAAGTTCTTCATGTAATGACTGCATTCCAAGTCCTCCCTGACAAATCCCTTTCCTGCAAACATCATGAAACTCATCAAGTGTGCACTGTGCCAAGTCTTCAAGGACTTAAACATGTCCAAGTAGGGACAAGAAATTGATGTTTGGGTCATTCTATTATATTTAAGTAAGTGTTTTTTTTTGTTGCAAAACAGTTATGACATAATATTGTACTCCTATCTTTCTATCTCTGAGTTCAAGCTACATAATTAACATACCCGTAGATCCAAAAGTTTCAATGGCATAAAACTCCCCCTCCTCCATTTTTGTTTGTTCTCCGCCTTTCACTATTGGAACTGATTTCCCAGCATGGATTTGATATGGCCCAATGCTATGTCCATTGAGGTTCCGAACACTTTTAACTGTCACACAAGCAACAAAGTAGTTCGTTATGATTCGTTTTTCACTATACGTTATTTTCGCACAGCAGAAAATCAGAAGCTGCGTATGACTACTTTACATTACCCTGGAAAACTTTCCCATTGATTTCAACCTCATATGACTCCATAACTTCTTGGATTGCAGCACCAACATCACCAAGCCGTGCATCTATTCCAGCTTCCTGAAATGACGTAATAATCAAATCATTTGGATGTTCAATGTGTGCATGCTCAACAGAGAAATAATCTCAGACAACCATGGTCATTAACAGGACAGGAGAAATTGAATTAGGCAGGCAAATTTTATAGTAGCAGCTAGAGATGCCAATCCATACAATATTTGTCTAGTGGAAATCAGTATTCTAATGAACACATGAACATGATGCACTTGAGCAAAACATCTCAGTTCGGTACAATCAAACAGAGCACTACAGGAAAAGCAGCCTACAGAGTGCAGAGAAAAACATCGAAATTACCTTGATCCCTGTATTCGTGGCATCTCTCGTTGCTTGAAGCAATGAATTGAACATAGGATTGAATGCAACAGTAAATGCACAATCAACAATGTACCCTAGAACATATATCAAGTTAGTGTTTGCAATTAAAAAAATATTGACTAATTGATGAGAATTCCACACAAGTAGTCACATCAACAAACCAAAGACAATAAATAAAACAAAATCATTGACAGACCATCTATATGAGTTCCAAAATCCAGCTTCATCACATCATCATATTGTAGCACAGTTTTGTCGCCCGCATTTGGAGTCCAGTGAGCTGCAACCCTAAGAATCGCATTTTTCTTCCATCAATTCTTGAACCGAATGAAAAGTTGGAAACACATCTAAGCATACCAAATTAACAGAAACACTATAAAAGAATGCCATACCAATTCAAGGAGCATCCAGTTGGAAAAGCAATGCCAGCTTGCAGTCCATTCTCCTTGATAAGTTTCCGGACCATGTTTTCCAATGTTTCACATAGATCAACCATTAACATTCCAGGCTTTATGATGCTCCTCATATATTTCCGCACCTAGCAAATAAGAATATACATACGTTGTAGAATTGCAACCAACATATAGAAAAGAATAAAAGTTGTGCTGCACATAAATTACAGAGGGTGTATATTTAAACCTGTCTGTGAACTTCTGCTGCTCGTCGAACAGAGTTGTACATTGGCTTTTGCAGTCGTTCCAGCTCCCTCTTTTCCTCACTAGTTGTTCTCCACAAATTACTGAATAACAATAGTGTATAGATTTGTAAGAGTTACTGGTAGTTCATTATATTAGTTCATAACTGGTGGTGCTTAACAAGATGGTGAAAATCCTTTTCCCCCCAATACATAGGATAATTTAATTCAATAGAACTTCAGCTACTTGCACTTACTCATCCTTATATTGTTGGATTTCACCCTCAGGAAATTCTCCTGACGGGAAAAGGTCATCAACAGGTATTGATGGAGGATCTGTCTGCTGAAGGGGGTCCTTCTTCTTTCTACAGAAGAAATGAAAAATCCTTGTGAAATGAAACAGGACAAACAATAAAAGTATGGTTCAACTCAACAGCAGAACTCACTTGGATTTGTTTTTCTTCTTTTTCTTCTTTACAGCTCCTGAAGAATACCCATTTCAAAAGACAGATGTTAGACTAACCCCACCTCAAATGCTAGATATTACAGAATAGCCTTCAGCTTTTATAGGAAAACTTTGGCAAGGTAGAGTTGTCACCTGGTGCTCCATCTTGAGATGGACCATCAGCTTGTGCTTCATCATCATCATCCTCTGGTGGTGAGGACTGAGCTGCAAGAACAGAATGATTGCTGTTTGCAGCTTTGTCTTTAATCAAATTATCCTGCAAAAGAAAAATGGATGTTAATTGGTATGAAAACAAAAATACAGAAAACCAAGGGTCAAGCATGAGAAATGTGCCATATAAGAATCCAAGATCATACAATAAAGTTGTTATCACTTGTTCAAGTCTTCTAATCATTTCACTTTCAAACTGAACTGGAAAATCTACCCACCTCATCTAGTCAAAAGTTTAGTGACCATTTTTAGGACAATTTTGGCCATTGCTTACAAGTGACTTCAGACAAAGCATGATTGAAACATGGAACAAATGAAGAGGCTAAAATTGACATGTGAGTATGCAAGACAATGACCAGTTATCATGACTAGAACGGACCACCTCCGCAAATGAAATACTCCTTCAGTTCTCAAATAGATGCGAAAGAAAATATACTCAACTTTGTGCAGAACAATACTACTGTCTAGTGATTCATTTCATGGGTCATGAAAAACAACGGAACTGCTGCAGCTACTTACTTTTGTTTCATCATTTTGTCCAACATGCAGTGCCTCCATCTCCTTGGTTGTTGCATCAACTGCAGCCATTTTGTATATTTCTAAGGCAGGTTCAAACCTGAATACACAGGATAAACAAAACTGTAAGACCCAATAAGTCTCAGATAAACTACATTTTAAAGAAATGTATCTGCATTATAAAGCAAATGAGTATTAATGTATTATCTCAGCTATTCACAAGTGTCAGAAACTTGACACACTCATAATTGATAACGCCATTGATAACAATATTTGGCTTACCAGTATTTGCTCATTAAACTCAGTAAGCAAAATGCATGATTTAGAGTCCGGTCAAGAATGCTCATTAATTAAACAAAATTATGCACAAATTGTTCAATGCAGTGGCATTTAGTTACATGTATACACTACAAGTGAACAAACTGTACCACGTGTTTTTTGTGCACTCAACCTAGCAACAATATGAAATCCTTTGTTGAATTCGTTTTTCTCTCATTTGTTGGTTTACCTAGGAAATTTGGACATTGGCTTGCAAGATAGATGAGAGACTACACGGTCATATCAATTCAGGAAAGGGACAGAGCCGGCCGCTTCATCTGAAGCTCACTGCAACAACTATTATAGAACTCATAAGTGGGCAGCTACCTCTAGCACCAAAACACGGCACTTAGTGCACTTGGGGTATTCACGGGATACACAACTAGCATGTCACAAATCTTTAATCTCATCTTCAAAAGCTATGTTACATGTAGAACAGATTTTAGGCATCGCAAAATCTGCACAGAGAACATGGATCAATACCGACGGGGTTAGCCGGAGCACATACATACCTAGGCGGCGCGTGCGGGAGTAAGCCGGCGGGGCGGGCGAGCGGGCGCTGGACTCGACAGCCCCTCTTACGGTTTGGTGGCGGGGGAGGTGGCGTGGCACCTGGCGGAAGCCACCGGCCGTCAGGAGGAGTAGGACCCGAGGGGAGGCGGATAAGGAAGCGGAGATGCGGAGATGGTGACGAGCTTCCGGCGGGGCCGGTGGCTGGTGGCCGGCGGCGTCGCTCCCGCACAGTGGCGAACTCGCGATGCGGCCGAGGGAGAGGGAGGTGGGAGGCGCGGCGGACAGTGGCAGGATTGCGGGCAAGGCAAGGACCTTCTTGCTTCTTGTCCTAATGGTCAAACGCGGGCTGGCATGTCCCTTGAGCCTGCAACGTAATTTGTGGCAGCCCACGTCCACCACCAAAACTAATTTGGAAAACATCTAATTTTCTTGCTTCAACTGTCACGATATTCAGATTGTTTACCGGTTGATTTCTGGGCTGATAAAACTGACTGGTGCTGATTTATTATGAGAGAAAAATACTGTACCATGACTGATAAGCCCTGACTGAAACCAACAAATGAACAGGCTGATTACTTTCTAAACTATAAAACGAGTTTTTTTACCCTTTTAAATTTTAATTTTTTTTGCACTTTAGATAGTTTTGATTTGATAAATCAGACTAAGTCAAAAGTTCACAAGCTAAATCAGACTAGAAATATTTAAAAAAAATAAAATCATAAAAATAAATTTTGAAAATATATCTGAATTTTTACATGAGAAAAATAAAGCAATCGGCCATTTTCGGGTCCACTTTTACATGAGAAATTTTCAGAATTTTTACATATTTACCATCATTACGATGTGAGTGGTATAAGAAATACTATGTCAGTGACACAGTGTAAGATGTCATCCGTAATAGTGGTAAATATGTAAATGCCCCGAAATTTTCAGGTCCTAGTGGGTTCAGGTGAGGGTGAGTGTTTACACCCGAAAGGTAGTTCGAGGCCAGGTCGGGGTTGAGTTTTCCGATTTCAGGTTCGAGTATGCGGGCGCTCCACCCGACCCTAACCCGCCCCGTTGTATCCCTATTCTACATAGTCTGAACAATCAATATAGATTGATTATAATAGATGACGAACATCGACCGATTATAATAGATACTGAGAGTTTCTACTAGCAAATAAGCACCAAAATGAGTCCATAAATATTCAAACAATTTCAAGCTAGGCATCATAAGATAGAGCATGATTCTAGAAAAAAATATAAAACTAGTTTCGTAATTTTCTGAGGTAAAAAAAATTCTATATGAATTTTCTAAGATTAAACTAGATTTTGAGCTTTCTAATTGCATTATTTTCACATGTAACAATACTTGTATATGTTTTTTAATTATTATTATGAATTTTTGGACTTTTTAAAATATTTCTAGTCCATTTACCTCACCAAATTTTCAAATTAGTCCGATATACCCCCTCTGACGTGACGCTACAATTGCAAAAGCCACCACCAAAAGTGCCTAAGATGCAAAAAAAAACGGTTTTAAAAGTTGAAGGAGGCTAAAAAACTAATTTTGTAGTTTAGCGAGCAAAATAGGACGGTCACGATACTTAAAGGAGGTAATCAGACTTTTTCTAATTAGTTTTGTGGAGCAGGCCAAATGGGCTCGTGGTATCCCCGTTGGCCAATCGTAAAAAAGTCTCTTTTACCCCTCCGAACTGCAGTTGCCTCATAGTTTAAAACCAGATCTGAATATCTTCCTCCTATCAACTATCAAAACCATTTTAAGTATCCCTCTATTCCGGTTAGAAATGATTTTCAAGACAGTTTCTTTTTAAAAAGAATATGATAAACTGCTCATAAAGTTTTTCAACCATGAGAAATTATTCTGAGCTTCTAAAATTTCCAACAAAATTGAAGAGATAGATTAGGATAAAAAAATCTAAATAGTGCACTTATTTGGTACTGCATGTATTGATTACATTTTATAAAATGGTCAAAGTTAAAAATATACCCCCTCTGTCACATAAAAAGAGTCATTGGATATAACAAAATATACTCCCAAAAAGTCAACTATCTTTAACTTCGACCAAATATATAAAATATTAGTATTTATAGTACATAATTAGTATCGAAGGATAGATCTTTGAATATATTTTTAGAATACACTTATTTGAAGATGCAAATGTTGCTAATATTTTCTACAAATCTAGACAAGCTTAAGAAATTTGATGAGCACAAGTCCCTAGTGACTCTTTTTATGGGACAAAGGGAGTATGACATAAAGCATACAATACAAAAACACCTTATGGGTATTGTTTATTTTAGTTTTTTTATTGGCTTCAGCCTAGCGTAACGAGCTGGTTTTTAAAAAGCTAGAAAACTGTCTTCTGATAAAAAAAAACTAAAAGCTAGAAAACACGTTCAATTGAGCTTTTGTTGCTTTTAGTGTTCTGAGAAGCTAAAAATATATTAAAAATCAATAACAAGAAGCCAATAGTCAGAAACCAAAAGTCAGAAAGACAAAAAAAGGCTAAAAACTATAAATCAAACAAACATACCCGAATGGATAGAGTATTGGACAATTCAACATATCTAGCTTCTTTTTACAAGAAAGAAACGTAATGTCGAATGTTAGCACTGGTTGCACTCCTTTGGTACCTTTGACGGCGACAGCGGCGGCGCCCAGATTATTGCAATCGCGTCCAGATTTGACTTTTAACAGTACTTGTGATTGTGGATCATGATCGTGCGTTGACTCAATTCAAAAGAACCACCGCTACTCGGTGCTCACCAGACACAAAACAAAAGCATGTCCCAGTGCATTTTCTATTTCACAGCAACAGCAAGTTACTGAAAGCCGGCGGGTCCCTTCAGCCCACCACACGTGTTAGACTATTAGAGAGCATACAAATCTTACACATCACAAACACACCACACATGCAAACATCACACAACCAAAAACCGTTTCTGTTATGCTTACTGAGATGGTAAGCCTGAAACTAATCCTCTTCTTCAGTACTACATTGTGGTGCCGCATCTATTGGGTGCTATTTCTGACGTGAACAAGGTTCCTCAGCTCTTCAAATGCATCCATGGTCTCCGCGTCAAAACCTCCAGCAAACTGCAAAAATGAGCTGGGTTTTTAGAACACTTGCAGATTTAAAAACTGGAGAGCATGCGAACTTAATGAGACAATAGGTTCCTGTGATAAGCGTCAGAGGAAAAGAGATCTATTTAATCACATATGTTCCGGCTGAAACACTGTTCCGGCTGATTTGTTGTGAGAGAAAAACACTGTTTCAGCTGAAAAAACAAGCTAAAAAGTACGGATTATAAGACAAGCGAATAGGACCGTGGAACTGGAAATAAGGACATGTGAAATGCTTGTGCGTGCCATAAGATATTGTTGGCAGTAAGGTATGTGCAACGTGCGTGAGAGTTTGCCTCGTCTTAAGTTACTGCTATAATGTGTTACCTGATGCATCCTGAAGGCCAATCTCACAGCCTGAAGCAGCATGTACTCCAGAGCTGGATCCTTGTTCAGAGGGCCCATGTATTGAAGCTCCATTGCAACCCTTTTCATGTACATCTTCGCTAATTTCACAGAAGCAAACTTTATCTGCAGTCAAGAAGGAAAAAACATAAGGGAGCAATCCAACAATATAAAGCAGGTCTTTTACAAGACGATGCTGTTATATAGGTTTTCATGACAGCAACAGAATCTGCAACTGCTGACAAGGAAACAAAGATGGATTCCTGGAGAGGCCGCTAAGGCGCTAACATTCCTTAAGCAACAATGCACAAAAATAATGTATTCAGTATTCTCAAGGAATAGGACCTTTTAGTGGTCATCATACTAAGCACTCTAACTACTGAAAGATATATATGACAGCAATGGGAAACTAATCACTAATTAAAGAAGTAATAGACACAAGCTTTGCTTACTCCAGTAAAGTAGTGTAATACTGCAAGGCCATCTGCAGCTTTCTTGCCTAATGGAAGTGCAAACTCATAATTTATTTAAACCAGAAAAGGGGCAGTCGACACATAATATTTACCTTGCTAATAAGATTGTTATCAAGCATCCAGTCAGTTGGAATATTAAACTCCTTGAACTGCCTCATCATAGCCTCTCTTGTCCTTAGAAGGTTGTAGACACCTCTCTCGGTCCTGAATTAAGAATGCCAATCAAATTTTCAGTACTTTGTGCAACTTCATGGGTAATAATTATTAAGTACTTGCATATTCATTATATTTCGGTAAACTCGGACATACTTTTCAGATAGTGTAACCATTTTCTTCAGCGCGATTTCACAGGGTAGGCGTGGATCATCTTTATAGTTTGAAACTTCCGATTCCAGCTTCTTCAGGTCCTGGTAGCCAAAAGCTGCCTCTCGTAGAGTGTCTGCCTTCCTCTCAGGCCAATCAAAATGCTTCAACACTGCTCTCTCATCCACCTGAGCGTAGGGCGATTAAGTTAAAAGAATAATTTAAGTGGCAGCTCCAATTGAAAATGATTACTCAGAAATCAGTCGGATTGTAATAAACATACTAGGAAGCCAAGTTCATCATCTAGCCACTTCACAAATGCAACCACATCTTCGATATCTTTGTAGGCTGCACTAGTCACCTCCTTAATCAATGATTTCACAAATTCACCTTGAGTCTCAACATCCGCCTTGATCTGCAAATTAAATAAAAAGTTAAAGCACACAGTTAGTGCCAGAACCAGCCCATCAGAGCTATTTGTATGATCACCAGATTTTCAATAAGCTAGACTGAGTTTCACTACTTACAGCTTGCAAATGGGATGAGCGATTCTCGATTTCACCAATCATGCTACTCCGCACATTCGCAGAGTTAGCTGCTTCACAGATTCCACCACTGGAAGTATCCTTTTTGGAGTCCCTTCTCATAAGTGAATGGTAGAGCTCTGCGACCTGAGGTGCCCTCTTCATGACCCCAGTACTTTTTGAGGAAAACTTTGGAGGAGGTGGCGGCGGCGGTGGTCGTGGTGGATTTACAGTCGATCCATTTGATGGACCAGAATTTGACACAGAAACAGAAGGTCTTGGTGGAGGATTAGGGATGCGCAACGCACGCTTTTCAACATCCAGACACTGTGATTTGCATACTTCTGGCTTGCTGAGAACAAATCTTGAACTTTCAGATCGACCAAAATCATACTTGTCCACAAGAAGGTCACGCTTCTCCCTGATTGTAGGATCCTTATTACAGGCAAATGACTCATCTGTTGCATCTGGAAGGCTGATAAAGGTATCAGATTGCCTTCTTTTAATGATGTTGAAGTCTTGTGCACGTCCCTTTGGTCCACCAAGTGAGTGCCTACGTGTCGGGCTTCGTGCTTCTGCAGCTTCAATCCATGCCCTATCAAGAAGGGCTTCCTTTTTAGATGCTTGACAACTCTTATCATTCTGGGACCACTGCTTGATGCGTTCTGCAATGCTGAATTTTATATCAGAACTGTCCTCAGCATTCTTTGCATCACCTTCACCACCATCATCCTCATTAAAAGCCATGACACCATTGCAATCTATATCCGTCATTGCTCTAGCTACTTGATCTGAGTTACAGAGCTCATGGCGTGACATGAATTGATCCAACGAAGATAAGCAAGCTCCTCAACCTCTGTTAGCCGACTCATTTGCAATCCCTCAACTTGCTTGCTGAGGTTTGCATTTGTGTGCCTCAGCAACGATGCCTCAGCTTGAACCTTTGCAACTATATCACTCTGGTGACAGTATTTAAAGTGCAGAAAGAAAAATTAGTTGAAATATTTTCCATACAAAGTACAAACAGAAAGAATAAAGTTCAAGCAATGGTACCTCTGCATTCTTCTCAAGGCCAGCCAATTTGGATTCAGCTGAAGAGAGCTTAATTGCAAGATTTCGTTTCTGAAACTGTAGCTCTTTGTTTAACCGGCGTAGTTCAACAACTTCAAACTCCAAATTTTCTGAAGGTGTATTGTCCCCATTTGCACTAGGTATCTGGTTGCCATGGCCATCTAATCTTACATTTTCTTCATGATGTTCTACCATAGAAGATAGAGCTGATAATTGTTCAGATATGCTTGTTTTCTCAGCTTCTAATGAAGTCTTCAGTCGTGCAAGCCTGTCAACTTCATCCCTCATAGAATCAAGCTCCTTCTCAAGTTCTGAAACCTTTGGATTTTCTCTGCATTGCTGCAACTCTGACTGTAATGCTAATTCCCTTTCTTTCGACTCACGTAGTTGCTCCCTGAGATGATCCAACTCAAGAAAAAGATCATGGGATGCTGGGGACCTAATACTGTGGCAATCGAAGACATGGGGGTGGACTTGAGCACCAGCAGGTGAACAAGGGAAGTCCCCAATGAGGGATCTTTTAACCCTAGAGTGGTACGGAATCTGTTGGATGGTCTGATTGACATTTTCAACACTTGCAAGAGGTGGTTTTTTACTTGCAACTGCTGCTGTCTTCTTGGTTTTCTTGTCTGCTGTAAACCCTTTGACAATTTGGGAACCCCATGAGGATCCAAACTTAGGTTTCAGAGAACTTGAATTGCTTTTGGAGTCAACCCTCGATCTGCATGGCTTTGTTTGGTTGTCAAACATGATTTCCTCTTTCATCTTTTCCCAGGATCACCACACTCCAAGCACCATTCAACACTGCACATAAATGAGGAAAGTTGTTACTGATATGTAGCAACCAATGTCACCACAAGAAAAATTGAAATAAATAATATGGTCAACTGATTTGTGAAAAATAAAATAAAAAATATGTCCATTCTCAAACTCTCCATATATAGCCCCACGCAACATAGTACAGCATCTATCAAACTTAGTATTCGGCCAAAGGAGCTCTTAGCAGCAACTCTATGCATGGAACAGTTAATACCGGGACAGACCATTTGAGTTTTAACCCCCAAAAGCCTTCCTTTCTCTAGTTGCTCCCATGAAGCTCTGTTATTCTAGCCTGCTGAGTGTTGCACTGCATTCCTTAGCGATTAAATTGACTACGCCTATCCCTGCACACGGCACTTATGTGAAGCAAAAGGAGATTACGAAGGCCTGAGCAGTCAAGTTTAGCACTTTTGGTAGGGGCTTAGCCCCTCCAGTTTCCTCAAAAAAAAAGTTCAGCACTTTTGAGTAACCATCTCATTGTGAATCGCTGGATTCCAAAATTTTTCTGGCAGCAGAATAAATAAATAAAATTGTTGAGGTAAACCCATGCTTTCTACTACTACAAAGGAAAAGGGAATGAGCAAGAATAGGACATGGATACCGCGATTGAGTCAGATCCGGGTAAAAATAGCTTGCATTGAGGTTTGGGGGTGCCCCGTTCCGCACAGATGGAAGGGAAGAGAAGGGGCGGCATACCAGGATGGTGGTCGTCGCCGGTGAAGGGCCCAGTGAAGGGGGCGTCGCCGGTGAAGGGCCCCAGTCGTCCTCGCAGTAAAGGAAGGCTACGGGAGAGGGACCAAAGTTACAGCTATAAAAAAAAATTGATACTGAAATCCCCTAACCCCAACCCTAAGCAGCTCAAATCTGCGGCATTCCACTCCACCAGAACGAACCTGGCTATGCCCACAAAGAGCCCCGAATCAGCTCAACCTACCTAGCTACTCCAAAGACCGCAGCCACGGCCGCGGTGGCCGCCGGCGTTCAGAATACTGAGGCAGCGAGCAACTGGCACTAGCAGTAGCGGCAGTGGCGCTCTAGCCAATAAATAAAGAAGGAGATCGGCCAGTGCCGAGCGGAATGTGCAGCCGTGGAGCCTGGAGGAGGATGGAGGAAACAAACAAGGGATGGTGCTTCGGATGCTTGCCTCGCCGGCTCGCCCCAAGAGGAGAGAATCCGTCCCCCACGCGCGGATTTTTCAGTGGATTCCTCCCGGGTTCCGAGACGCCACGCGACCGCCTCGAGGTCTCCCTCCCGTGGAGAAGAGAGAGAAGGCGATTGAGGAAGGGGGTTTTGAATTTTGAAATCGGAGAAAAAGGTGAGTAGCCGTAGCATGCCATAGCATAGCTCCAGCACGCTGTCGCTGGCTGGAGGCCAGGGCAGGGCAGTGGAGCTTACTGACGTGTGGGGTCCTCTGTGTCCGGTGGTCGGCTTCGGCCTTTTGCCTGATTTTTCGCGCCTGTGTCCACCTGTCCATGTCCATGGGCCATGGTCCGTCAGAGCAACCACAATGCGTGAAACAAAAATTACTCTGCTGTCACCTTGTGCTTGGGCCTCAGGTGAAGCCCATGGGCGGCACGAAAAGGTAATTGTGACTATTGAGCCCGTGCGTAAATAGGTCGTGCTTAAATGGGCCCATGCCATGCCGTGCCTAAACAGGTCGTTGCTGGCTCGCTGCTCCTGCCATCCTGTGGCCCTTCGAGGGTCTGTTTAGGTCTGTTTAGAATGCAGAAATTTCACAGAAATCTGTTTAATTTTATAGGGAAAATGTAGGAACATGATTTTTTTTCGCAATCCGAACAGGCCTTGACGCCCATACTAGCTAATCTCATTGGCTAATCCTAGGGAGAGGATGCACGGCTACTAGCCCTGGGCAAAAAATACCGAGAACCAAACCGAAAATACCGAAACCAAATTTTTCGGTACCCTATTCGGTTCCTAATTCCCAGGAACCGAAATTACCGAGGTAAATTCGGCTCTTTACCTCGGGGAACTGAATTTACTGAATTTACCAAATTACCTGAAATGTGCTGAGTTTGAGTGTTGTTATATTATTGATTGTACTATTATATTATGTATTTGTGGTACTCACTCTTATAGTCTTGTGGACTTTTATATGTATATTTATATTGCACTATTATTCTCTATGAAATCATGTCAAAATTAGCTTTTAAACCTGCTATTACATGTCTCTATGATCAGCTCGATAATGTTTGGTAAACACCGAAACCGAACCGAAAGTACCGAAACTGGATTTCCTCGGTACTGATTTTTTGAAGGAACCGATCGGTACCTATTTTCCAAGGAACTCAATTTTTGTGGGAACCGAAGTACCAAACCGATCGGTTCGGTATTATTGAATGCCCAGGCTGAACGGCTGCCAGTGCCCCTACAAAAATCTGTTGCTGGTTGACCCTTACCGCATGTAAACTTAAAAGGATTTGGAATTCTAAGGATGCGCAGCAGGATATCTTAAAAGGATTCGAACCGGTTAACAATATGTGGAAAATATAAACTTTTCGCTCTATGGGCAACCATGGTGAAGTCTTACTTGACACTCTCATCTACTTCCTCTTATAATCCGCTTGCCCAATCAACAGGCTAGTTAGCCGCTAGAATGGATGACTCCATTACCAACCTATCTGGATTTGATGCTTGCACTACCTATTAAGCTAGGCACTAGTGCTGACAAGGGGGTGGCCGCGTAGATAGGGGTGGCAATGGGGCAGATGCAAGTCGGGTGAAGTCCCCGCGGACCTGAATCCAAACCCGAACTCAAACTCAAAACTCGAAATCGCTCCGAACACTGATTCGGGTGAAAATTCACCCTGTCACCAAAATCAGTGGATCCCCGAAACCCACCACTGTATGGCAATACAATAAGGAATTTTGGCAACACATGTATGATATATATTACATATTCACATGTATAAACAAGAGGCAACAAACAACGTACAATTCTATGACTCAACTTAGAACAAAGTTATTAGTAGCTTACAGAAGCGATTTATTAATAGAAGACATGAGTTTTGATTCAGAGTGATCTATTTGGGGTCTCCATTAGGCATCCTTGGGTGAAACCAAAATCGAAACCAAGCCCGATAAGTTTTGGGTCTGCGAACCCGAAAATCGTGAGTGGAAAATTGTCCCCGCACCTGCACCCGTTGGACCTGAAAACCAAAGGGACCTGATCCAAAACCGCCCCATCACCATTCCTAAGTGTAGATGCTTGTCGGTTGTTTTTGCGGATGAAAACTCGCAAGGGTGGGGCCAAAGTGTCAGGAGGAAGAACCTGATCGTTCTATTGGTGACGAGGAAGAAAGTGGTGAATATAACCAACTCACTATAGGACTGGGTGATGATAATTTGACTTGTGTATCCAACCTACGTTTTTTGGATATCATGTATGAGCAGGAGTGGATATAAGACGACACGAAGAGGGGGAGGTAGGGTCGAGAACTAGAGATAACATGCGCCCTGGAAGATGGGAATGCTACATGACAAAAGAAAATTATTGGGGACAATTTCCCCATTTCAATATTATAGATATACTCCCTCTGCTAAAAAAGAATGCAATTTTAGATTCGAGAGTAGTTAATCTTTCTTAAGTTTGACCTATTTTATAGATAAAATATCAACATTTATGTCTTTAAATAGTTTTATTATGAAAATATATTTCATAATCAATCTAATGAACTTATTTGATATAAAAATGTTAGTACTTTTTAGTATAGAGGTGGTCAAAGTTGAAACTATTTTGACTCATTGGAAAGTGAGAATTGTATCTTTTTTTACGGAGAGAGTACTAGCAAACATGCCTATGTATTGCAACAGAACGAACACTTTGTTGGGCGATCGCTTGAATGACTTGTGACTTGGGTATTTATGTAATAGATGTGTCCTCTGCTCCAACATGTGTGGGAACCGGACTCCTGTACCATTGTTTGATGTACAAACATGTGCGGTTTTAACTTGTATGAGCATGGGTCATGAGTTCGGATCTCATACAAGCACTGTTCACCTAAACAGCCATTTATCCTATTTAAACACCGTGTAAACACTACACGGTGGTGCGCCGTTTCCGTTTAATTGGCCGTTTACCCCGTGTAATTGGCCATTTACCCCATTTAATGGGACGTTTTGCCCGAATAATGGCTAAACGGTAGGTGACCGACTGTTTACCATTTGGCTCTTAGGAAAATATTGCATACAAGACATGGAGATACTACTAGAATCCACAAAAACAGTATGAAAATGTTTTCCCTATAATTTTCCGTAAGGAAAGCCTCCTAAGACAATTTCAATCATGGTCCTAGGGGAAGATAGTTTCCCTAGGTTTCTTTAACTTTCTTAGGAAAATTTTAAACTCTAGGGAAACCAATGGATTCTAGTATTGAGAGATAAATTGACATTGTGAAAAAGTAATAAAAAAAGATGAATGGAAGAATTACTTGGCTCTGTAAGAGGAGAAATTAGATGCAAGATATGTTGGATCAGGTTTCATTATGCTATTGGTCACGTAGGGATTGGAAATAAGAACTTGCCACCAACCACAGACACATGTTTACATGCAATCGAAGCAAGCCATGCCTTCTTTTTCCATCTTGTTTTTTTTATTGACAAAGTTACCTTTGTTGACAGGTGACAACTGAGTGACGACTTGTATATTTTGGTTTGGTAGTGGAAATAGAATGCTCGACAATGAGTACATTTATGCTAACCAGTGGGTTACCAGACTTGTACCCTATACTAGGAATAGGATTATCATGACTCATGACGAATCTTCTCCTATACTGCATTGATAAATCGAATGAAAGGTGATTGGCAAGCTTACTGGGTAGAGCTCAGGCTCTGTTCGGCAGGACTTATTGCTGTTGCGGTTGATTTGTATAGCTGATTTGTTGTGAGAGAAAAACAATGTTCCATGGCTGAAAAAGTAGGGCTGATTC